ATTTTATTTTATTTTATTTTATTTTATTTTATTTTATTTTATTTTATCTTAATTTAATTTTATCTAATTTTTTTATACTCTATCGTATTTTGTTTTAATTTATTTTATTTTAGTGTATTTTAATTTATTTTAGCTTATGTTGTTTTATTCTATCGTGCTGCAAAGTACAAAAACTTTGACAAGCACACTTCAATCGCCTTTCCGGCAGTTCGGCTCACTATCAATTTTTGCATTAAAAATTAAAGAAACGAATTAGCGTTTGAAATAAAGTATGTATGTACATAAGAATATCGACAAAGTGCTATAAATGTAACAACAATCACCACTTTCGAAAGGAGCAGGAAAGTGGGAGATTAGAAAGAAGTAGATAAAAATGGTACTATAACAGAGCAATTCACTCAAGGGTATAAGAAATAAAAAGAAAAAAAAATACTTTCATCCGTCGTTTTGAGTGGGTAAGATGGACCAGGTTAGCTAGATTTGAGGTGAAATGCAAAGCAGAAAGAATAGTGGTGGTGGAATTATGGTGGGCAAGTACACAAATGATGGCAGTAAATATGTAAGTGGGAGTACAAGCGAGTATGAAAATGTCAAAAAGAAAATTTCAACTCCTAGAAAATGTTCAGCTTTTGTTACTAGCGAATACGAAATGCTGCAGCTTTATTTTCTATGCAAATTTATTTCATTCAACGATTCCATTCTTTCATTTTTTACTCTGAAATATTTTGCTCGTTTAGGCATTTTTGATTTTTTTTGGTTTGCTCCAACATAATTCCGTTTGCATGAAAAAGTTCTGCATTAAAAATGCAATGAAATTCATGCAAAAGTTTGGTGGCGATATGAAAATAAGTCGGGCGTTTGTTTATGACCGCCATTTTGGTTTAGTTAACGGCTGTGCGATCTGAACTTGCTGTATTTTTACGTACATACTTACTTACTCCTTCGTTCCAAAGCGTTTTGCATTTATTGCGTTTGAAGTTTTTGGTTCGACCTTTTTATCTTCTTTTCTCATCTTTCGATTAATGGACTTGGGCTTTTGGGTGGCTTTTTTATGCAGAACTTGCCTGCTTTTTAAATTCATTGTTAGTCACCTTCAAATGAATAACTAAAAATTTCCATTTTTACCTCTGATTTTTTACCGCTTGATTTTAGTATTTATTTTTGGCGCAGTTGGATAGATGACTTTCGTTCGACGGGTTTGGATTTGTGCGTACACTTTTCATCAGTACGAATATAAAAAAGTGAAATCAAGACCAATTGTGATATTGATTTATATTTTATGCTTGTGTAATTATCCTAATGGATTATAAAGGAAGACAGTAAGATTTGAAATGACCAAAAATAGAAAAGATGAATTACTCAATTGGGTGTTGAATTACTTAAAAAATCCATCTTAGGTAGTTTTTTTCAGATTATTTTATAAAAGGAAAAAATGAAGGGTTGTTCTGTCAATTTAGCTCTCGGCTTTCGTGTTACTCTCCATTCTGATATATGTTGCCATAAAGGGCTTAAAAGAAATTTAATTTTGTGGCACTTTCATCATCTTTTCGGCACTATTTTTGAAGACCATTAGTCACATTTTGAAATTGAAATTCCATCCCTGGTGTACCTCATTGAGTTCGTTCGTTTCGTCACTCACTAATGGGGCTTTTTGACGAGGCGATATTTCAGGGAACTTTTGCGTTCAATAAATATAATAAATATAAAAAAATATAAAAATATTCGCGATAAAAAGGCGTTTGCATTCTACTTTTGGTTGAACGGCCTTTCAACTAATCGCTTTCAACAAAGTTGGTCGCCAGCCAACATTAAGCCATTCAACTTTTTTTCGGGCAACCCTGCGTGAGTTGAACGCAAAATCGACTCGTGCGAACACCTTTTAACTTTTTTTAACCTTTTAACATAAAACTACCTGATTTGAATTGAATTAGCCTGGCATTCAATAATTCAGTCGCATCTCGAGTCACTAAATTTGAGATTAGCAATTTTTGTGACTTGAGATGATTTGGGTATTCAGTAGGAGAGAGTCACAAAAAGTTCACCAAAAATGTGTGGTGATAACAAACACAGACAGTCAATTGATAGCGTTTATGTATGCCTATTGTCCGCGCCGCACAAAGGGTCGGAATGGCCGAATGGTCAAAGCATTAGGCTGCCGGTCGAGAGGATCCGAGGTAGAGGGTTTTTTATTTTTTGTTAAGTATTTTTTTCTTTTTTTTATTAGTTTAATTTTTTTTTGATAATCTTTATATTTTAATGTTTTAAAAACAAAAACAAAAATTTTTTTTCAATGGATTTTTATGATATTAAAGCACTTTGGTTTATTTCCTAATGAAATTGTTGTTGAACAAAATGGAAAGAAATTATGTTTTTCTCCATATTTTTATTTTTGAGGCCTGCTCTTAGCCATCTGACAAATGAGATACTTTTTTTTAGACTAGAGACGAGAGACAACGTACTGAATACCAAATAGTCTCAAAATCCAAGTTCACCACCAAAAGTCACTATTAGTGACTTGAGACCGCTTCCTGAATGCCAGGGTAAATCTTATTTGTGATTTAATTTGCCGAACAAAAAAAAATTAAGTTAATTCATCAACAAAAAGAAGTATGTAAATCAATTTTATTTGTGACTTGATTATTATTGTACAAAAAACTTATGTCGGATTTGATTCGTCAACCTAATAAAAAATAATTTTTTTTGTAGTTTGGATTGTCCAGCAAGTAAGTTTGATTCGTGATTTTCCAACAAAATATACTTTTTTCACGTAAAGCAAGCAAGATTTTTGCTGGACGAATCAAATTACAAATAAAATTTAGTTTTTATTTAGTCGACGTTTCAATTCACAAATTAATTTAATTTTTTACTAGTCCAACAAATCAAATCAGAAATGAAATTAATTTTTATTGCACACAATAAACACTTAAAAAACTTATTTCTGGTTTGCCCAACGTAACAAATCACAAAAAAAAATTATTTCTTTTTTGCTCGGGGAATCAAATCACAAATAAAATTTGATTTGATTCGTCGAACAAATAATATAAGATATGATACAAATTTGAATTCGAAAATCAATTTTAATTTTGAATTTTCGATTTGACTAATTAAATATCACGGAATCTGCGTCTAGAACCACACTCTCCTGATTCTCATACATATTTTATTCTGCCATGGGCTAGGAGAAGAGAAGGTTTACCTTGCGCATTAAATCTGATATCATGTTCCCATCAAACTTTAGTATGTATGGTAATAGTTATGTTTTAAGTACATCTAACGTATATACATACATACATGTGTACTTATGTATATATATACATAGCTCATGTAAAGCTATAATCTCAGCAGGTGTATTCTATTGATTTGTGATAATCTGTATGGTTCATATTCCCTATACACATTCCTTTACGGACACGTATTAATTTAAGTAACCCACGGTAACCAGCCAACCATAACAAATGGTAATTCATCATTATTTATCTTCCCACGTAATAGTAAAGTAAAATGAGGTTTTACTATTACGCGCAAAGTTGTCAAGAAAAGGCATTGCAAGAATTTTTTTAAATATTTGTTTACAAATAGCGTACAGTAAACTTAATACATAGGATTGATATTCATCTTCACTTTTAAGGATTACTAAAATAAAACACAAATACGCAAAATGAAACATCAACAAGTTGTTGTTGACTATTGGAATATGATTAAAGCCTCGTTTACATGCCTGCTTTTGGCCTTTTTTGGTTACATTTTAATAAAGTAAATACGTATTTGTTATACCAGTTAAGTATTTAAATCATAATATGACTTATTTTAGGATGGTGCAAACTATATTTTGGCTACCAGGGTATTTGCAGACAAATCAGAAGCGTTTGGAACAGTTAGCGGCGCAATATTCTTTGGAACTAGACGATGATAAATCTATGGGTGGTGATATAAAAGCAAAAATAGAGAAAATTATGGAAGAAAGCCAGTTGATGGTAGGTGGAGAAGAAGAAAATAGGGCTACTAACGCAGAGGTGTCGAAAATACAAGGAGAACCAAAAAAGCAGAAATAAGTTATGACATCAAATTAGGTTGTATGAACTTATTTTATAGCTTTATTTAACTTTAACTGTATTAGTAATGTTTGAATAATTTCTTTTTTAAATAAATGTGGTAATTTTGATTATATTTATTCATTCAAATTACAAGTCTACGTGATCTCGACTATAACAGGCATGTCCTCCGGATCTTCATCAAGCAATCCTTCGAAATCCCACTGCAAAGTTTTTTCCAACTTTCTCATAAGTTTATCGGCATTCACTCCAAGACCAGCCATATTTAAGTTAACGAGCAGCGATCTTATATCTTTATATACTGTGTTATATTCACCTGCTTCCATAAGTTCTTCAGGCAAATGCGGCAATTGTTGCATCAATGCTTCGCAGTACTTCATGTACAGAATTTTAAAGTCTTGTACAGCCCTTTCCGAGTGCGCTAGTAAGTGTAAAATCTTCCGCCAATGTGCCAAGGACTCTACTGAGCAGCCAACCAGATAAAATACAAAAGCCAATTGTTCTTCATCGATCAACGCTTCCGAACTGTGAAACTTTCCAACTAATTTGGTGATTGCGTCTACACAATCCATGCTGTTTTGAGATACCTCAGCTGGCGTAGCATTATGCGGAATACGTTCAGGCAATTCTGTGAAGCGCGGTGCAGTACCTTCAACCGGTTTCAAATTTGGCAGCAAATCACTTTCATTCACAACAGTTTTCCCGTATTGTTGTTGTAAGCTATTACTATGTAGTGTACCGCGTGGTCGATCTTCATCTGGGCATGATTGTAACTCTACATTTGTGCGTATTGAACCCAAAATAGGTCTGCAGCGATCTACTGTGGCTTCTGTCACCTTATCTGTTAAAAGCTTCCACTTATTGTAAAAACGGTAGTCGTATGGTGCAAGAAAACTATCAAACTCCTTAAGGTTGTCACGTATGCGCTTCTTTTCTAGCTCACGATCATCACACTGGCTTTCCTGCATTTCTTCATCGCGATGGTTCCACTCTCGAACTACAACTTCTTCACTTTTGAAAAAATGTACGAATCCAACACGAGGCGCCACATCGCCATAAGGACCACATGAAGCGCACCAAATGTAATGTGGACCAGGTGGTATCATTTTTACGCCCCGAAATTTCTCACCAATTTTATAGTTGCAAAGATCGATGCCGAATTCTGTGCCCACTGGAGCGCCCGTTATCACTAGTACAGCGCCTGTTGTGAACAGTTGCTTAGCAAGGCCAGGCTCCATTTCCATAGGTGATGCATCAATATTCATGGTAATTTTTTAAGAAAAAAATTTATTACATTCCAAGTATGTATATTTACAAATGCCTAAATTGTTTTGCCAAACACAATCAGCTGTGCGTAGGGATGCAAACGATGTATCGATATTTTTGAAACATCGATAATATCGGTTAAAAATTCGATGTTTTCCATCGATGTTTACTATTTCCAAAGATGGGTAAATTGACGATACATCGATGCCAGTTTCAACGATGTTTTAGCATCGACCTTTGTGTGACTCAGATTTGAATTCAAATTAGGGCCGGTTGTTCAATGTCTGGTTAACACAAATCGGAGGTAGAAGCTCCGTTTAAATACAACGACTGCTTTATCGATCACATGTTATACACGTCGATAATGATGTTTAACCGGCAAGTAGTGATAACCAGACATTGAACAACCGGCCCTTAGCCATTATGATCTTAAAATTTTTTCACTGCCCCTGAACTTTCATACGTATTCTTTTAGGGAACATTCAGAAATTCCGAGTTTGCTCGTAACTTTCGACATTAAAAATTCTTAATACAAATATGTTCACATATCAATATTATCTCAATCAAAGCTCGTTTTTAATCACCCCGTTTATACAGGCAAATCTCAGATTATTGCCGTCAAATTTGTTGTGCTGGTTATTCTCACATATCAAGGAAAATGTATGTTCCTTCTCTGTGCCACCGTGATCACGTTTTTCTGATATTAAGCAAAATAAATATATGTATTTTAACTTAACATTTTATTAATAATACCTTTACAAACCTCTTTTCCTTGCTAACGTCCATTTTTGTTTACTTTTACATTTGGCATTTCTCCTCTTTTTCGCAAAAACAATCGATAAAACTAGGATGGACACCGAAAAGTTATCGATTAAATCTGAGATTATTTTATAATTACAGATTAACAAGGGACGAATTTTATATGGCTAATATCTTGTTTTAATTACAGATTAGGGTGGTAAGCTCGAAAATGAGGATAATCTACTTATATGTGAACCTAAAACCGTCACGATGTAGAGAACAAAGGTGGCACCCATCTCGGTACCGCTATTCCGCTCTCAGTGAATTTGAGAGAAGCACTGTTTGTATGACGTCACAATTGTGCATCTTGTTTACGTTTTGCTTGCAACATTTTTTCTTCTTCTTCCATTCTTGCTGGCGTTTTGGCATGATGCAATAATACAGGTGTTATCAGTTGGCCACTTCTCGCTCTAATTCCGCCATATTGACTGCCTTAGGTGAGACAGTGTTACTTCTTTAAAGCTGAAATTAGTCGGGAACGCAGAACGTATACTTAAACGCAGTCTGTATACGCAAAGAGAGAAATATCCAAAATAGTACGCGAACAGAAAATTTGCAGAAACTTGCAAGTTAGACGAACAGCTGATATAATTTTTGTTTACATACAAAAGTGTAAAATTTAAAACGTACGAAAAGTCATCGCAAAGTGTTATACTGACACAGTTTATTGATTAAACAAATAACTACTTATTTCTTACAAGTTTAATTAGTCGCATTTTGTAATTTTTATCTTCCAAACGATCAAATTAAATTTTGTGATTTGCGTAAATGCCAACCAGCTGTTTTTGATCAGCTGTTCCCCTGTTGGCAAATTGCTGTTGGCAAAAATTTTTCCAACAGAAACTAACAGCTTCCCCTCAAAATGAAATGTCACTTTGCTCTCTCAATTTCCCCTACTTTGCAAGTTTTTTGCGTACGCGAACGCAAAAACCTGTAAGTTTTGGTTAAACATGAACAATTAACAGCTACGCGAATGAACCTATTATTGCATAATGGCGTTTTGGCATTTCTCCTTCGCAAATGCACCAGTGTAACGTCACACAAAAATTATTTCCAAAAAGCCTCTCTGACGGGCGCAATCTTGTATTCTATCATTCTTGTAAAAATGTGAAGCAGTAAAATTACTCTCTGAAGTGAGAGTAAAAGTGAGTAACAAAAAAAAGTACGGAAACAAAAAAAGCATTTTTCCCGTAAAAACGTCAACCAGTGATCGCTTGACACTTTTCATGATTTTACCAGAAGAAAAAGTTCGGGTAAAATCTTGCAACTTCATTCTCTACACAACTCTCCAAAAGTGGCTCTCATTTACAGGATTTTGGAAGATTTTGGAGTACGGGAACATTTTTCCTGCAACTTCCTGCAAGTTCGTGTAAAATCCTGTAAATCAGAGCTAAAATCATGAAAAGTGTCAAGCAATCACTGGTTGGCATTTTTACAGGAAAAATGTTTTTTTTTGTTCCCGTACTTTTTGTTGTTACTCACTAGCTCTGATCCAGTATTCCATGAACTTACAGGATTTTACACGAAATTGCAGGAAGTTGCAGGAAAAATGTTCCCGTACTCCAAAATCCTGTAAATGAGAGCGTCTTTTGAAGAGTTGTGTAGAGAATGAAGTTGCAAGATTTTACCCGAACTTTTTCTTCTGGTAAATTCATGAAAAGTGTCAAGCAATCACTGGTTGACGTTTTTACAGAAAAATGGTTTTTTTGTTCCCGTACTTTTTGTTGTTACTCACTTTTTACTCTCACTTCAGAGAGTAAGTTTGCTGTTTGACAGTTTTACAGGATTTTTCACGAAAAGTATTGGATCAGACCTATTTTTTACTCTCACTTCAGAGAGAACAAAATAAGCATTTTTCATGAAAAAAATGTCAACCAGTGATGGCTTGACACTTTTCATTATTTTACCGGAAGTAAAAGCTCGGGTAAAATCTTGCAACTTCATTCTCTACACAACTCTCCAAAAATCGCTCTCATTTGCAGGATTTTGAAGGAATTTGGAGTACGGGATCATTTTTCCTGTAACTTCCTGCAAGTTCGTGTAAAAACCTGTAAGTTCATAGAGTACTGGATTAGAGCTAATATATATCATGCTCAGTTTTGATTTGGATTTATAACGGAATTATATTTCTTATCACTTATATTAAAATCTTCCGTATCCCACTCATTAAATTCACAAATGAAATAACTGTCCATCATTAACCTCTTGATGTAACAGCATACAAATTCCCCTTGGAGGTTTTTGAGAGTTATGCTGGACACCATTAACCTCGATGCTCTTGTTCTTGATATCTCCACTAGAAGACCATTTAAGCAGCCCATTCTGTTTTAAGTTTTTTAAGTGTCAGGAGTTTTGAAAAGCTCATTTGAAAACAACCGAAATAGTTACTGTCTGAAAAAAAAAATTGTTAATTAAAAACGCCTTAAAGGCTTGATTAAGACATTAATTGCTGCATTAGTGAACGTAAAAAAACTTCAATCCCAAATCCATAACCCCTAGAGTGATACATTTTAAAGTATGTATATATGTATATGTGTGTATATATTTATTAGTATTTTATAAAACAAAACAGATACTTGAAATAATTTTATACATAAGCAAATAGCCTAAATAATGTAAATCAGCTCAGCTCAGCTTAGCTATTCAAAATTTCCAATTTATTTGTATTTATATGTACGTACACGCATATGAATGTATATATGTATATGCATATGTAAGTTCAATCAAAATAAGTTTGAACTTCCGTAACTACTCAAGCTTATAATAGAATGTTTAACATTTAGCCAGTAGTATGTATTTATACTATATAGCTAATATATATTTATAACAAAAAAGATAAATTATAATCCTTCTCTTTCATAATATATATTTCATAATTCATATCGTCACTTGAATTGCAAAAAGACGTAACAACATCGTAAATGAAATGGAAAAAGTCGTGACTAATATTTTAATTTTTCTTCATAAAATGATGTTGGGAGTCGTAATTCGATGAAATCAAAAAGTGAATTTTGAATTTTTTATTAGTTATGACTTTTTGCATTTCACCGATGATGTTTGTTACGTCTTTTTGCATTTCAGGTGACGATATTAATTTATATGAATCAAACGAGTTTTTCTTTAAAAAAACCTTGAAAATTTTGAATACCTATCTCTTTACGTTTATTTACATACATATGTATGTATATCGTCGTTTAAAGTACAAAACCGCGTTTCGTCATTCTGCAAAACCGCGTAACTGACATTTGCTGACAAAAATTGGATTTGCTCACACAAGCTCTTGGCTAAATCCTTATCCATTCGTCCTGAAATATACTAGCCAGAAATGCGATTGCTTTATAAAAAAGAGAACCATTTTGAAATAAGAGAGTTTTTACTCTCTTGAAAATAATTTACATAATTCACATACGCGGTTTTGTATTTTGTTGATACGCGGTTTTGTACTTCAAAAACGACGATATGTATATAATATCGATTTAAGGACGCTACAAAAAATCAGTTTCATATGCGTAGCCAATTAGTTTTACGTTTCTCTGCTGTGCTTGAATATAGTGTTCTTAAACTTACTTGCGATTATCGCTTTACTAACACACGTACCTACATGTATTCATACATTTTATTTGTTATATTACTTCCTTCTCACTTAAGTAGATAAATTCGGTAAAGCTGCTATGCAGTATTCAAAATACATAAAACTCATTCGTGCTAATAGCAAAAATTAATATGGATTTTAAGCAGGATTTTTTTTTTCTTACTGAAATTAAATTCTCATGCTTGACAAAATTCTAATTTGCCTAAATAATACAAAAAGTAAGATACTTTGGAGTCGAGTACTTAGTTGCCTTCACATTTGATAACTTTGAAGCACGTATGTATGTAGTTTTAAGTTGGAACAAATGAATTACATACATATGTTTGGAAGTTAGCATCTATGCTGGAATCACTGGTTGCTTTAACGCCTTTATGGCTCTAAAGTGCGTAGAGGAAGACGATTGTAGGGATTAGCTAGATTCACATTAGCAGCAGACAACAATTCGGGACGTTCCGCTAGAGTATCGGAGAGTGCGCGGAATAAAATATCTGTAAGTAATATAAATTCGCGATTAATCATCAATTGAATACCCAATTACTAGAGATATATTAATTGCAAACATACGCAAAACTTTTTTCTGCAAATCAATGGGTATAACACCAATATTTCCTTCACGCTCCAAAAAGTCGGTTAGTTTCTGCAACTCATGCTGGGCTTCGTCGGAACCGTGCGACAAAGATTGTGTGAACATAATCTATGAAGCAAAAATGTAAGAGGAATATCTTAAATAGCAATAAGCAAGCCCAGGAGCTAACTTAAGTAGGCCGTCTTAAGTGAAGGCATTCTAAAAGGCTTAACCAATAAGGGCTAAAAAATATGTTTAGCTGTATGTCTTCTAGAAGGGCTTTTACTATTTAAATATAATCTACGCGAATGTAAAAGTTAGCTTTTATGTATTCCCTGCAATCCAAAGTTTCCGGAATCTTAACGAAATCTTTAGGAGTAGCTCATTTCTCTAACGATTTTCTTTCGAATCCTCAAAGATAATTATATGAAGTGGTTGACACGAACTCGTAAAGAAATTTCTGTAGGAAAAATAAAGAAAATTCTGCAAGAAATTCTTTACCGCTTTTTCGGTGTGTGCACAGTTTATTTTAGAAAATTGGGCAAAAAATCAGAAGAGAGAAAAGAGCAGTGCAGAATAGGTATTCTGCAAAAAATGGTTTTCAGGGTTATTTAGCTTTACAAATGAATTTCAATATGAATTTCAAGTTACAATAAAACAAATTGCAAAATGCATTTAATGTTACACTCAACCCTGTAAAAGGGATGATTTTGCTTCTTATCCTTGCCTAGCTCAAGCATTTCATAATATTGTCATTTTAAACCATCTCATTTTCAGGGCAACTACCTCCCCTGACAAAGCTTCAAAGGGCAGAAAATGTGCCTTTTATGCCTTACAAGAGTGTGACATTTTAAGAAACGAACAAAAAATTCTCTAAATCTTTGCCTTTAATTTAGAATCGAACACGCAAAGAGAAAGGGGCAATCAAAATGCGACATTTTTTGGTAGAAACGAAATCACCATTAAAGAAGCAACTTTAAAATAACTCCTCCAAAAGGCCTTCTGAATTGCGTGCTGTAGCCGTTCTATGGGTGGCGAAAGCAGACGCCATTCGATTTGTGCCACTCCTTACAACAAAGAAATGAGGAAGCAATTTAGAGTGGAGGGCTCCTGAAGTTAGCTACTGGGCAAATTAATTAATCTAACACACCTTTGCTAATTTATATAAAATGTCTTCCAAGGTGTATTCATTGTAAAGAAATTGTGATATTTTAGCTCTTTCACCGGTCTCATCATAATCATTTAGATCTGCAATTGTTTAATTTAAAAAAAGAGATGCACTTTATTTACATACTCCTACCTTGATTGCCATCATTGCTTAGCGCCTGCAATTTATGCCATACCGATATATTTTCGACTGACTTCATTGGATTTTCATTGTTAGAGTGCAATAGTCGATCCAGTCGTAAGTAAGGAAGCAAGTTTTTTTCATTTGTTGGCGAAACGGTTGGTGGTATTATAGTTTTGGTTTGCGGAGGTTGGAACATTTTCTAAAAATCGAATGGTGAACAATTAGAAATTCAAAATTATCAAATTCAGTCGGTCTTTAAATAAAGTCATAGATTTCGCAGCACAAGTACAGAATTGCGAATTTTCGATGTTTGTTGGTTAACGTATTCAAAAAGAATCTGCCATAATAGACAAATATAAGTAAACCCGGCTTTGTTTTACCTTATCGATGTTAATATTCAAGCCAGCCTCCGGAAATATCCGATTTGTATAAGATTGCTGTAGGTATTCAATGCCAACACGCACCTCCCGCAAAAATGCTAAGGCATTTTCACGTGTCATCTGTAAAAGAAATTATACAGATAATTTTAAAGTTTAATTCTTTATCCCGACCTACCACTCCCCGATCGATTAGCTCTTCAACGGCGCGTGCAACACCAGCCTCATCGCCGGTCCAAAATACGTACTGTGCCATGTCAAAAGGCGTTATTTGTCCATTGTGACGCTTTAGCAGAGCCTCAACAGTCTGTTGAGCATAAAAAAAAAATTGTGGAAATGAAATAAAGTTGGAGTTATTGCATTCGCACAAGCCGTATGTGAGTTTGCTGGAATTTTCGTTTGACTGATTTATGTTGTATGCTTTATTAAGTGGCTAAGAGCATTATGATGAAACGCAATAATGATACGGAAAAATATACTTAAGCATACATAAGTAACTATGTAAACAGTTAAATGGATGGGATTAAATGTGACAGTGTTTTCTTTTTATGAAAAGCCCGAAATTGTGGCGCCTCTATCTGCATTGTGCGTTCGGGGAATGAAGGTTTGACAATCCGTCGCTCATCATTATCAAATTTATTGCGCGATTTTTGCAGCATTTCAGAATATGTATTTCCAGTTGAGCATCAAGAAGAAAGCATAAAGGGAGCAACAAGATTGCAATATTGTGGTAATAATTATATGTATATGTAGCTCGAACACACCCGATTTATTGTACTTGATTGAATTAGTTCACAGCTTAGTTACAAAATTACACCTTTTTTCTAAACTGGTCAGCTCTTCACGAGTATGTACCCGATAATAACCTTACCTTTACGGCCGTTTTGGAGTGACAAGTTAACTCTCAATCGGCAGTTAACTACAGGTTTTCAGTACAAACTGCCGAATTTTAATATAAAATACATGGAAAACTTTGGGCGCTTTGAGCGACTTCTTAAATATTTTTTTTTTGATTTCAAAATAAAAAATAAGGGTATACTTTTTCGGTATAGAACAATCCTAGCGGGTGAGAGCATTACAATTCCGACTTTACTTTTTCCACATGCATTTTTGGACCACCCTAGTATACATATGTGTGCCCATGTCATAAGCAATAAGTCGAAAAACCTGAATTCGAGAAGAAACATTTTAAACAGGTGGAAACCAAAATAATCTCGTAGCTGGCGAGATGGGGATAACTCCATTCTTTCTTAAGTCGACTTAGGCGGTTATAGCTTGTGACCACAGAAATAAAAATGAAAAATTAACTATGAACATAACCAATTTATAAGTTAAATATGGCGCCCTATCAGCTGCTTATGTAAATATTTTTCGTTTGCAATAAGTGTGGGAGACTTACAAACGAATAGGTTGCCCACTTTAACAATTTAAAATCTAATTTGAATCAAAAAAATTTGTTGCGGTGACGAAATGTAGACGGTGCACAGTGATATTTGAAACTCATTTTGTGCCCATTATTTAATGTTTAGATTAGTATATTCACATGAATTTGGAGTTTTTGAAGTCGCTGAATTCGAATCTGAAATCAAAATAGCTAAAAACAAAATGACCAATCCAATATGGCGCCTGAAATTAATAAAAATGTGTTGAGTTTGAAAAAGATTTATTAAATTCACGTAAAATTGAGTTATATTTGGATTTTAAGTTTGTATTTAAAATTCTTTAACAAAAATGCTACTGAATTATAATATAATCATATTTGCGTGTATCTTACAAGAAATTGGTTGAAAAAAATCTATTTAAAAAATCACCTTCAAAAAAACTTTCAATGTTGTATGGTACAAAATCGCATCTCAAACAACAGGTCGAACACGGTCCGATTCAGTATTGAGTATTATAGTTTAGAATACAATTATCTTGAAATAAACATACTTTATATAATAATATTAATGAGCTGAACATATTAAAAAAAATGTATATTAAACCTTATATAGAACTGTCATGAAGAAGAAAATATGACGAAATAAAAATCAAATGGATTTTGGATTTTGGTGCACGAATTGAAGACCAAATATCACTGTGCGGCGTCGCTTTCCAATTTTTTATGGGAAACAACAACACCACAGATTGTACGGTTAGAGAATGTCTCAAAATGTAGACGACTTCATCGATAACGACCTAACCGGCCCTGAATGTATAAAAACTATCTAATATTGTTTTTTTTTTATTTACCAACTTCTACCACCTTTTCTGTGTAAAGTCTATCACTATTAAATTTTTCGAAGTCCGTGCACTGGCCACAATATCAGGTATACACCGAAAGCTGAAAAAGATAAAACCCCTTTCAGACAAGTCAAGTCTTGCTTTCAAGTCTGCGCGGTTCGTTGGCGAAGGAGGTAAGTAGAGAGGGGAAGTGTACATTCGTCTCACCTCTTGCGCCTACGAACGAGCAGACTTGAAATCAAGACTTGACGTCTCTGAAAGGGGTCTAATAGTAGTCACCACGGACTTGACTATGGACGATTGGACCCGAATAGGGAGGGTTGTATCTAAATTTAAAACACACAGTAGACGATAGATAACGTTGATGAAAATTCTTACGGACTACACAAGAACTGTAAGGAGCGAAGAGCTTATTGCCCAAACCACCTCTCGACGAAATATTCAACGCATTGCTGAACGGTTAGCGTTGCTGACTTTGCACATCGATGATGCGGATTCGATTCCTGCTGAAGTCTACAGAAACAAGTCTGAGGAGGAAATGTGGTGAACTCCGAAATAGCAGCTATAACTTTCACCGCTTAGGCCGTGTTGTTTTTTTTTCATATTGTCTAAAAGGCAACGTGGTACAAAGCTCAATATTACTGTTAAGATAGGAGGTATAGTTCAGATTAAAGCTCCACACTGACGGGTTAGACTTTCGATGCTTCCTCTGAGCTAAGAAAAGCTTCATAATCCAGAACATCTCAGATTCAGTGTTCAATAGTACAGCTTGCGGGTCAGCAGATAGTTGTATTAGGGTCATTAGTTGTGTGCGATGACATACATGAATACATACATACATACATATTTATATGACAACTAAATCTTTTCTAACGCTCTTGGAAAAATTGCATCAAAATCACTTAACGGCCTAATCTTTTGTTGCCTCCTTTAATTGCGCACAAAGCCTAAAAACTTAAGATCGATAATTTGTTCATGCGGTTGCCAATTTATAATGTAAATTTTCATTTGCAGCTGCCAACTATTCCAAGGATAGCTTGAGTGTGGTATGTTATGATGTGATATATATCAGTTGTAAATGTGTATGCAAATACTGGTATATAAATTTTTATGTAGAAAGTAAGATTGATGGGGGTTGTGGCTATTCAGTTATATTCAATGGACTAAATATATGTATTTGCAGAGAAGTGACTGTATTTACACTATCCCAGCAGGTAAAACCTCTTCAAGTGGATAAAATAAAGTTTTCTTACTAATAGTTCAGAACTGTCGCTTTTTCGACAGTTTTAAAGTATTGCATCATTTCATATTCTATTGTTCATATGTATAAAACAAATTTACCCGTTTGAAAAAGTATGTAAATTTTTGTTAAAATTTAATTTTACATTTACTCGAATTTTTAAATTCTAGCCAAAAGGTTGAAATCAGGAATGTAGAATTTTAGTTACTGTACCCTGCCAAATGATAAGAAAGTTTATCCGACTTTTTGAAGTTTCATATTTTTTTTATAAAAATATAGTTTATTTAATAACATAAGAAATATAAAAATTATCGCGAAAGCTTAACAAATTAAAAAAAAAAAAAACTTCATCAACGTTTGAAACTTTTAATCAGAGCTTTTAGACAATTTTTGGCTACGCAGTTTTCAGTTTCAATATTCCCGTTGATTTTTGAAAATTTTTTGGGTTGAAGGTGTTGTGTAGTGTCCGATCGAACTTCAAGACAAAAGCCGAGTGTTCAGTTCGGGTTCGGTTTCGGCCAAAATCTCGAGTTTGCCCGGCCACTACTGCTGTGCATTTTGTTCCATCCAAAGTACACCCTGCGTCATAATTATAAGCACATATTGACAAGTTTTAGCAATTAATTTTTTTGTTATTTAATTTTAGGGATTTTTGTATAAAAATATAGTTCATTCTATAACAAAAACCATATAAATTTAAGTTACAAGCTTTGTGAAATTAATACAAATTTCGAGCATTTTATTTAGATTTCTTCATAAGATGTCCATAGAGTTACCTAGGGCTCACCGTTGATATTTATAGAAGGCGTTGCTAATTATATTCCATATAAAAAAATGTCGAACATATCGACGGCTGAGTGGATGATCGCCCTATGTAAGCTGCCCGGTTCGAAAACGCCCTAGCTCAGAATTTGGTTCGAAAATGCAATTCGCAGCTACCGATGTATTAAATTTATAATCAGATAGAGCGTTTTCGAACCAAATACTGAGTCAGGGCATTCTTTAACCATTTGCAGAGAAGTCTTTTTAGAGCGATCTTCTACTCAGCCGTAAATTTGTATGTATGTACTTGTATAGAACAGAAAGCACATTGCCGCCAGCAAACAAAAAAAATATTCTCATTTTTGTTTTTGGTATATCCGACAGGGTAGGAGTGTGATGTAATGTGGAACGATTTTCCGTCATCCCTTGTCAAATCTGGTTTGGAGACAAACCGGTTTCGGCGTTGTGCCATCTTCAGTGTCATTTTTCGTTCTGAATAGTTTCTGTTTGTCTGTCACAGAAACTATTCAGAACGAAAAATGACACTGAAGATGGCACAACGCCGAAAAAAGGTTTGTCTCCAAACCAAATTTGACAAGGGATGACGGAAAATCGTTCCACATTACATCAAAAAAAAAATATATATATATCAACGCGAATTTTAAGCGAATAGAAATTAGCACTTTATTACTGAAATTTAATGGGCTATAAAACTTAAAGGTCGGACTAAAAAGTTTGAAATTTGAGTGAATTTTTTTTTGATTTTCGCAAATTTTGCACAAAGTTTGAAGTTTTGATTTAGCATATCGTTTATTTTATCAAGGGAGCTATATTTTTTATAAAAAAAATATTTACAATTTAAAAAATTCGATAAAGTTGAAAATATGTATTAGAATCTGAGTGCTGTTTCTATTCATTTTGGCCGGGTACTGCAAAAGATTTTAAAATATCTTGAACAATATGAAAAGCATTCCGTACATTACTCGTACGAGTAGTTGTAGAATATAAGTACAGCCCCCATTCTGAAGGCTCGAAGGAAAAGGTGCAGCGGTAGGACAACTGAATCTTTTTCAACAATCACCGATCAACATTTATAAATTTTCCGCAAACGAAATGCAAATTCACTTGGAAGTCATATCTAAATCCATGGCTTTCACTGCGGGGATGTGCTTTTTTATGAGTTGTCAATGAGTGAGGCACAAGGTGCCGCTTGTGCTTAAGCTTGAACTAAACTGAATTGAACTACGTATGGCCATAAGAACCTGTTGGGGTGGCATTAAGGTCACCGATCGACGTTGAGCTGTTGATTTGATTTGATCAGGCAGCTTATCGGCCGGAATGGTTCCAGTAATTTCTTGCCTATTTGAGTTGACAGTTTCGACATCGAGCGGAAGTGTATCTGATTCGCCCGCAGTAATAAGTTTTTCATCGCTATTGCTTTGGATGGGTGCTTGAGGGGTGGTACTGGTAGTTGTTGTTGTTGCTGTCATTGTACTAGTGGAAGTAGATATACCGGACATTGTTGTTTTTGTAGATGTAGATGCTTTAGCTGTGGTAGTTGGAAGCACTTCCGGATTTTGACCAAATGCCAAACGTGCCGCACCATAGAAAGGCTGTATTATACATACACACACATACATATATGTACATTCATAGCTACAGTTATGTTCATACATATGCACATACATGCAAACATAAACAGATAATGCAATTTTCAGCTATTGTACTCGCATTTGAAGGACTTTTGTTAGCAGAATTTGCATTTTCTACTCTTATTTAAAAATTATAATGTTAAGAAAAATTTACGCTACTACGCTTACCTTGATGGCAGAGGGTGCAGGTGGACTTCCACCACCAGTTATAATGGTGCCACTATCTGCAGCCTGTTGGGGACCTGAAGCACCACCAGCGTCAGTTAACGTTTTGCCGCCATTGTCATGCTGAAGAGTGGGTGGCCGGTGCATACCGATACCCTCTACAGGTGACTGCGGTTCGTCACGATTCTCGGGCACAACCGGAGCTGGTGGTAACTCTGTTGTCGTGCTCTTTTCCAATTTTGTAGTAATAGCTGGCATTTGCTCCAGCTGTCGTTCCAATTCTTGAGATTCACTTATTGGTTCTGCACTTACAGATCTGCCTTCGAAAGAGGGCTCGAAGGGTCGATCTGGGTATGTCGGATTTTGCACAGTAGCATCTGCATTTTCGTTACCGTAATGGTCCTTCAAATGCTCCAATTCGACAACGTCGGCATCGGACTGAGGTGTTAAAAAGAAAAATAGGTGGACATTAAATACGCATACGCATGTATGTATGTACATATCTACTAAGTATATGTATGTATGTACAATAGAGTGTTTCAAAACATATGAGGTTTTTTTTACATCTTGATGCACATATACATACATACATACCAAATATATACATTA